TAGGAGAGTGTGGTGTCCGTAGGAATGCTTGAGACCCAGGAGAGAGGGCTGGGAGACACACGTATGAGATCTGAGTTCACTCATAGGCATTGAGTCTGAAGATAGACAGACATCTATTGCATATGACCTTCCATATCTGGGATGTGTTTATGGCTCCAGGATCCTGTTCTAGGATTCCCTTCTGGAATGAGAGGAAGAGTCCCAAATCCACATGCAAGGAAGTGACATGATTTCCCTCAAGCCACCACACTTCTACTTTTTCAGAGAGGTGTCCAGAACATCTGATTCCACTCATCATCCCCCCTGTCCATCTCAACAAACTCTAGTCAGGCTTTTTCTTCAGCCATCCGCTGGGCAGTGCAGCGATAAACCATCCTCTCTGTGTCACTGAATGTCTTAGGGCTTCCCTTCTTACCCAGTAAAAGCCAAAGGTCCCACCAAGCCCTTGATACCTGACTATTTCTCCAATCTTCTGTGTTGACATACTTCTTTTTCTTCACTCTGCTCCAGCCACACTGGCCCCCTTGTTCAAAATTCCCAAGCACAATCCCACCTCAGCATCCTTCAATGCTGAGTTCCCGATGCCTGGGAGCTTTCCTCACATTTTTACACGGCGTTCTCCTTGCCTTCATTTAGGAATTGTTCACATGTGACCATATCAAAGACACCTGCACTGATTACCCTTTCCAAAATAGCATTCCCACCCCCCCTCACCATCTTGCTCTAATCCCATTTGTGTATTAGAATGTGTAGTTCAGGAGAGCACAGAATTTCCTCTTTAATGTATTCTCAGCTCCTAGAAGAGTTCCTGGCACATCGAGTCAATCAAAAAATAACTTTTGGATGAACAATTAAATCCAAAGAACATTTTCTTGTCTAATCACAACAGTGTTGTTCCTTTTTCTAGTTCCTCCTTCTTGAAAATCTTCCTTCCCTGGGCAATAATACCATGTTCCTTGTTTTCCTCCTGCTTCTGGTGCACTTTTTCCCACTAAGTGATGAAGGCCCACGAAACCCAGTGCGGCTAGATACTTCTCTTGTCAGTCTACACTCCCTAGTCACTCCCATTCTTGGCTTCGGTTACCATTTGATACCAAAGCCTGAGATACATAACTATAGGCCACTCAGATGTCTCTTCCAAGCTCCTCACCACATACCCAAGGCCACCTCAGTACTCCCACTGGATGTTTCAAAGGCACCTCAAATTCACCATGTCAGGAAACAAAGTCATGA